TGGATTTATTTCACAATGTATGCATATATCAAAACATCACGTGGTACATCATAAATGTATAGAATTTTTATTTGTCAATTACATTTTAATAAAGCTAAGAAAAATGAAGGAAATGTATGCGAGTAAAAAAGCCAAGCTTAGAGCTACACTGTGATTTTTCTGTTATGCTCCATTTATCAAGGTAGTTATGATCTCAGCATTCAATCTTTAGGGGATTATGGAAATAGACCCCATCTTTTTGTGGGGGTAGTAACAAAGGAAAGTATTTAAAGTAACCAGGAAATATTTTTAAAATTTAAATGTAGTAATGAGAGGGGAGTAAGGAAGAAAACAGGTAAACAGGATAGGTCTGTAGGACTCTTTTTCGCCTGAAGAAACAGATCTGCAAGCTGCAAGCTCCGGACAAAAGTCACACCCATTCCCTTTTCGCTAGCTTTCTTCCTTTTTCCATATCTTTTCCTAATTGATCCTTTTTCAATCCTCTCTCCATCGGCCCTTTACCCTATCATGTCACCTTTAGTCCTTACTGCTAACCAATTAGGTTAGCGTATTTTCAATCCTTACTGCCAACCTTACTACTGACCAATTAGGTCAGGATATTTTCAGTTCTATGGCCAGCCAATCAACACACTCGGGAGTCCTATAAACCCCTGACTCAGCAGCCTTTCCACCCCCTCCAACCCACCCCCACAACCCCTGCAACCCACTCTGGTCCCCTCTTGCTGTGAGAGTTGCCACATGTGCTTTCCTGAATAAACTTCCACTTGTTCGCCTTCCAGTGTTCGCAATTCTTATTTCTTCTCCATCGTGAGACCAGAACCTGGGACTCATCAAGTCCAGAGCGTTGTAACCTTCCCTGAGAACTCGAGATTCTTCTAGCAAGAACTGAGAGCTGTGACACTCCTTGGCTCTGCAGGCCGCAGCCGGCATCCAGGCATCCTCGAGTTCTCGGGCACCATTGCATCCTTGGTCGCCACGTGGGTCTCAGGGCCCATAACGTCCTTGGTTGCCACCTGGGTCTCAGGCCCGCAGAGCAGCCCAGCTAAGACTTCAACAGTAATGGCATTCTGATTATCGAAGAAAATGTCAAAAAAAAATAAAATAAAATGCAAATAAATTATATAGGAGTAAAATAACATGATGTTTGGGAGTTTCTTTTAAATACTTCTACAGAAAAGAAAAATGATAGAGATAAAACAAGACAGATAATGTAACCTTTGCAACATCTTGATAACTGTTGAATATAGAAGAGAATGTAAAGGGATTTTTGTACTCTATTTTAAGCTATGTATAAAATTTTTCATTATTTTTAAATTTGAGATTTGAAGCAATATTATAGCACCTAAAATAAAAGACAAGGAAAACACTCAAAGTCCTAGTTTCAGCTAGTTGTACTTTTGATTAAATTTTAATATTATATCTTAAAATATCTCTTACATAAGACTCCTTAAAAGTACTAACTTGGGAAAGTATGTAGAAATAGAGAGACTTGCAGGGCGCTGAGGCTATTGGGAGGTCTGATAGATGAGCTGCCAAATTTGAAGTGTTGCTTCATGTTGGTGCATATGATTTCTGTTTCTACTATTTTAAAGCAATAGTAGTGTGAGGACTTAACACTATGAACTTCTGCAGCCATCTTCAAACTATAAAAGAAAGGCAAGGGAACCCTCAGTGCCAACTATTGCCATTCCCCAGACTTATTCTTATATGATAAGAATAACCTCTCTTGAGTAAACACTCTCAGTCATGTGGTCTGTTACTTGCAACTCAAAGCATTCTTAACTGATGACACGCTAAAGCAGGAAGTTCCAATGTAAATCTCCAGATGTTGCTAATTAAAAACAAGAAACAACTGTAGATGTCCTTTCTAAGGATATTAGAAATAAATTTTATTTAAAGGGAAAAAAAGGCCATTGCCTTGCTGAGCTATGGTGTGGCCATGAGCTCTCTGAGCTATGGCCAGGCCGTGTTTTCCTAAGCTTTGGTCCCTTTCCTACCTTGGGGAGGTGAATTACCTCTTTCTCTCTCTCTCTAATTTACTTTCTAAATAAACTGTATTCTTTAATTTTAAAAAATAAAAATAAAGGAAACAAGTTCAGAACCAGCTGAAGCAGAAACTTATTTGCAAGACCTAAATTTAATTTTTATTATTCATTCACCTGTAGATGGACACCTAGGTTGTTGCATATCTTGGCTATTGTGAATGATGCTGCAATGAACATAGAGTGTAACTATCTTTTTGATACACTAATTTCATTTCTTTTAGATATATATCCAGTAGTGGGATTACTGGAAAATGGGGTATTTATACACAATAAAATATTATTCAGCCTTTAAAATGAGGGAACTCTTGTAATTTGTGACAGAGGAATGAGCCTAGAGGACATTATGTTAAGTGAAATAAGTCAGACACAGATATAAATACTGCATATTCTCACTCATGTGGTATCTAAAATAGTTTAATTCATAGAAGCAAAGAGGAGAATGGTGATTGCCAGGCCCTGAGCGAGTGCAGTAGTAATAGGGTGAGATGCTGATCAAAGGATATAAAATTTCAGTTCGATGAGAGGAATAAGTTCTGGATGTTTCATTGTACAACATGGTGACTATATTTATAACAATGCATTGTACACTTGGAAATGGCTAAGAGAATACATTTTAAGTGCTATCATCACAAATAAATAGGTGATGAATTTACATAATTAGCTCATTTAACTATTCCACAAACATATTTCAATACATCATCATTTCAAAACATATGTTGTACCCCATAATTATATACAATTTTTTTGGGTTAAAAATACAAAATAAAATTAAAAAAATAAATTCATCTTTCAAAAATTTTCATATTTCTTTAAGATAATTACATTTTAAACATCCAAAAATAAAAGACTACATGGATATCAAAGAATCACCTAGTTCCAGTGGTTGCTTTCAAATAGCTAGGTTTAACGTGGCTATTGTACAGTTGAGTTAACTGAAAATTCAGAAGATAAGTATCATCTGAAAATTTACATAGGATGATATAATTAGTGTGAAAAGCATACAATTTGTAGCCAGAGATTCCTGAATTAGATTCCAGGATCCACCACATTTTAGTTTTTGACCTTGACAAATGCCTTATTTTTCTCAGCCTCAATTTCTTCATTCTTAAAATAAATTCTAAAAAAATTTTTTTTCAAGGTTTTGGTGAAGGTGGAGTAATTGAATGCATAAAAATGCCTGATTTCAAAACTTACTTCAAAACCAGAGTAATCAAAACAGTGGCACAAATTTGGTCTTATCAATAAATGAAATAGACTAGAAATACCAGAAATAAGCCCTCATATATGGTGAAAAGATTGTCATCAACAGTGGCGAGACCATCCAATGAGGAAAGAAGAGTCTTTCAACAAATGGTATCAGAAAAATTGGGTATTCACCTGCAAAACAATAAAGTTGGATCCTTACCATAAGAAGACCAAAGTTAAGAGCCAGAACTATAAAATTCTTAGAACAAGACATAGGGAACAGCTTTATTATATTGGATTTGGCAATGATTTATTGGCTATGACACCAAAAGCACAGGAAACAAAATTAAAAGTAGATAAATTATACTTTATCGACATTAAAAACTTCTGTGCAGCAAAAAACACTGTTAACTCAGTAAAAAGGTAACTCATAGAATGTGAAAAATATTTGCAAATCATATATCTGAAAAGAGATTAATATCCAGAATATATATTAAAAAAACTTCTGTAACTTAATAGCAATAAAACAAACAACCAATTTTAAAAATAGACAAAGAACTTGAATAAACATTTCTCCAAAGGGGATATTTGAATGGCCAATAATCAAATGAATTAGTCACTAGGCAAATACAAATCAAAACCACAGAGTATCATTTTATACCTATTAGGATGACCATTAGGAAAATAACAAGGTCTGGCAAGGATATAGAGAAATTGGAACCTGTGTGTGCATTGCTGGTGAGAATGTAAAATGGTGCAATTCAATGTGGTAAATAGTATGGTGGTTCCTTGTTAACATACAATATCATACGATTCAAAAAATCCACTTTTGAGTATATTCTGAAAAGATTTGAAAGCAGAGACTCAGATATTTGTATATCTATGATCCTAGCAGCATTGTCTGCATTAGTAAAAATGTAGAAGCAGCCCAAGTGTCCATAAACAAACAAATGAATAAACAAATTGTGGTGTATACATAAAATGGAATATTATTCAGCCTTAAAAAGGAAGGAAATTCTGGCACATGTTACAAATGGATGAAGCTTGAAGACATTGTGCTAAGTGAAAAAAGCCAGTCACAAAAGGATAAATAGTGTATCATTCACTTCATTTATACAAAGTATGTGGAATTGTCCGATTTATAGAGACAGAAAGTAAGATGGTGATTGCCAGGGGCTGAGAAATAGGAAGTATAGGGAGTTGGTGTTTAATGGATAGAGAGTTTCAGTTAGAAGATATGACAAGTTTCTGGAGATAAGTAGTGGTGATGGTACTGCAATGCGAATGTACTTAATACCACAAAACTATTCACTTACAATGATTAAAATGGTAAATTTTACATTATGTATATTTTGCTGTCATAAAAATGTGCTTATCTCTGTTTCTTGTTAAGTAAGATCAAACATTCTGCTAACTGATGGAAGAGAAATGAGGAATGGGAGATGGGGGGAGACATGGAATGGAGCCTTGATCTACACTTGAAGGAAGGTGTTAGTTTTGTATTGAATAATATTTTCTTCAGGATTGAAGAAAATACTTAGCTAGGCCTGTGACTGTTTTCACTGTGTTTTCCCTGCAGATTTTAGGAATGTCATTGCCACCTTTAAAATCTGTTTACACAAATCATAGTACGTTTCATTCCCTCATTTTATTAGTCAAGGTTCTTCCTTAATTTAGGAAATTGTTTGTCCAATAAAGACCTATATTATTTTGATAATGGTCTCTGAATCCCTGGATTATGTCAGGGATTTTACTTTGTAATACTCTCCCATGAGAACTGGCCAAACAGCTGTGAAGGCAAAAGAGAGCTACAAGGGGAAATCATATTCTTTAAAGCACAGGGACAAAGGACTGAAGCTGACCAAAATGAACCTTTTCTGCATTTCTCTGGTAAGTTCCTTTATTTGCACCATTTATGTCTTCGTTTTTATTTTATTGTGTCAAACAAAAAGAATGAAATTAGGGTACACTCTAAACTTCCTATGTGGGAATATTAATATATTTAGCATCTGATAAGAAAGTTTACACAGAAAGAACAGAGACAAATGATGTCTTTATTGAAGCACATAAACCACTTCTATTCAAAGACAAATAAAAAAAACTACCCACAACAGTTACTAGTTATATAACATTTTGATGCTGAATTTCAAAGTATAATCTGTGAAGAGCATTTATGAGAAAATGATTTTTTCCTATTTGTTATGAGTAGGAGGAAATTTTTTGCAAAATATGTAGACTTTGTGTTACTTGCTTTGCTTTGAGACATCCCAGGAATCAAAATTCCTTTTTTGTTGCTTGAATAATGAATTCTATTCAATGTTGGCTTGGTTAAACTTCCATGGAGGCAGTTTTCTGAGTTACACTGCACTGTAAATGCAAGGTACAATAGATTAATCCGGTCCTGAAGATGTGCTTACTCAAGGGTATAAGCACCTCTCAAATTCTTTTTTTCATTACTACTTTTTTTCTTTAGCCTGAAGTGGATCAGTGAAAATTATCAGTTAGTCATGGATCTGGAAATCCTTTATAACTCTAACCTGCAATTGTGACCATCTGCCAATGCTTAAAAATGGATTTCAAAAATAATTTTATTCATTTCTATCTGTGTTTACAGCAGGGCATTATGCCTATTCACTGGTTTTTTCAAAATGTCGATGGGAGATCCCTTTCATTTGGGAAAATAAAAGGGTCTACTTTTGATGTTTTTTTTTTTTTTTCCAAATTGCAATAAGATTAACATAATGGTAGAGTTGGTGCTAACGTAAGTTGTAATACCTAAGCAGGAGGCATTTTAAGCCAAGATAAGGGATTTAATCTCAGAGCATCTTGAAAAATAAGATGCAATTGTGAGTTGTGAGAGGCTGAATCATCGAATTTGGGTTGCCTATATAGTCCAATTTACAAAATAACTGCTAGCTCTCAACTTTGCTTTGTGCCATATAAATCTGCAGAAATCCTATTTTAGGTGATTTAAGTGGTATTGTTCATTCTTTTCTGGTTGATCTAAAAGAGCTATATATGGTTTATATAAGTGTACTTACCATGGAAATAGGCAGTGTAGCACCGAAGATGATGGTGTTCTGAAATCATTTTGAATGGTAATATAATCAGCATGCCAACGTTTCTATAACATAACATGGTTCAGCATAGTGTGACATAAGTTTGTAATCCTGCTGCTAAAGACATATAGTCATAAAATGAGGTTGATTGTCTTTCTCTGTGATATAGGAAGGGAGCACATATTCAAAAAGGATTGCTTCAAAGTCCTGGTTCATGGATTCAGCATGATTGTAACTCTTTTCTGTCTTTTGAAATTGCCCTTAAGAAGTTACTTGCTCAGAAATATATTTGATTAGACTGCACCAAAATGAACAGTAGACTGTTTTGTTGAATTATTCCAAAGTTAGTGCTATCAAAATTAATTGCTTTAATAAGAAAATGTGCACAAGATACTTGAAAAAAAATCAAAATGATTTTAGATTTTTAAAAGTTCCTTCTCATGGAATAAAGAAGCAAAATATTTTAGTGTGCAGGTTCTCAATCAGGGTATTGTGACACCCTACTGAGGTGTTATAAGCAGTGAAAAAGGGGTGGAGTAAATTTATGCATAATCCAAAACATATTTTATCTGTGCCTGTAGGAATGTGAACATAGGGGACACTGCAGTTAAGAAGAGAGAATAAAAACCACTGATTTAGTGGAAAGATTACTGAAATTTAAAATGAAGACATATAAATATACTGACCTTTAAATCTCTAGAAAGCAGGTGATTTTAAATATTAAGTATCACACAAAGACTGCCACAAAGAATAGAATGAAAGAGTTAAATATTTTCTCATTTAAGTGTGGGGTAAAATTGTAAATCTTTTAGTAGAAGGGGTTTTTTTTTTTTAAGAGAAATATAAAGGCAGAGACTTAATGAACTACCCATTCTGAACCAAGGATACTATAAATAATCCATTAAAGGTGATTGCTATTATTTTGGATATATAAACTTGAAATGGGGTCTGTCTTTGAAAAGGGAGGTGTTATGAGCAGTGAAAAAGGGCTGAATATACCTTTTATATATGCCACTCTGACTCTACAATTTTCTTAGAGTTTTTCATGGTGATGAGGTTTTTAGAAAGCTTTCTCATTTGAAGCAAGGTGATTTTCTTTTTGAGCTCATCATATAGATAGTGAGTCTAAGACGACTTTGTAACCCATGGGGTTATAAATCAATTATCCTTGCACCATTTCTTCAGTGACTTGAAATGCTACCTCTGTCTTTATTTGGGTTCTCTATTTTATCCCATTGCTTATCTTTATCCCTTTTCTTTTACTTGTTCTTTTAAATACCTATTAAGATAATTCTATTGCTAAGTGGTTATCTTACTCAGAAGAACACATTTTGCAAGTTTTTTTTCTCAAAATTTCGACTTTTTAAGTCTTTGTTTTATATAAATTTAGGTTCATATTGTCAAAATATATTAGAGTCTTTGATGGTATTTTGATTAGAACAAATTTAAATTTTATGTCATTTTTAGAAGAAATTGACTTCATTATGGTATCGTGTCCTTTTATCCACAAACATGTAATTTTTCATTTTTTTCATTTATTCTTTCATGGTATTTAGCGTACTTTATAATTTACCCTATAAAATTTTTGTACATCTTTTGTTAAATTTATTGCTAGAGGTCAAAACATTTTGGCTGCCATTATGAATATTTTTTCCAAGTTTGTTTTTGCTGATTTATATGTACAGTATTAGATTTTAGATATTTATATGCAAATAGATGATTTTGCTGAGCTTGAAGAATTCTGGTAGCTACTCTGTGGTTTCTGTTTTTTTTTTTTTCCAGATTTTCTGCACAAATAGTTTATACATTTTTTCTTTTTTAGCAATTATACTATTCTTTTTAAAATTTTTTAAAATTTTAACGATGTGGGGTACAATTCAGGGTTAGGAATATAAATGTTCATTATGCATGTACCCTTGTTGATGAGGTAGGCCCCCCCATTATACTATTCTTACTTCTTTTTCTTCTATAATATTGACAAACAAGAATGCTGTAGTGTCAATCACACTCGTCTTCTTTCTTTCTTTCTTTCTTTTGTGAGTTGGAGTCTCACTCTGTTGTCCAGACTGGAATGCAGTGGCATGCTCATGGCCACTGCAGCTTCAACCTGCTGGGCTCAGTTGATCCTTCCTCCTCAGCCTTCCATGTAGCTGGAACTACAAGCGTGCGCTACCACACCTGGCTAATTTTTTTTTTTAAATTGTAGAGATAAGGTCTCACCAAGTTGCTCAGGTGGTCTCCAACCTGTGGACTCAGGCAATCCTCTCACCTTGGCCTCCCAAAGTGCTGGGATTATAGGTGTGAGCCCCCATGCCCGCCCACTCATCTCATTTCTAATGCTCATGTAATTATTTCTAGTTCGATCTTCTCGAGGAGGTTTTTGTTAAATAATCCCAGTGAGATTAAGGAAGTGCTATCTTTACCCAGTTTGCTAAATTTTATTATAGATAAATATTAACATTTTCAAATACCTTAGAATATTTATTGAGATAAACATTTTAAACATATTTTAATGAATATTTAAATGTTGAAACATTCTTACATTCCTATGTTAAACACTGACTAACTGTAATGTATTTTTATGTACACTAACTTTGTGTACATTTTATTCAAGATTTTTAAAACTATGTTAATAAGTAAGGGTGATCTGTTGTTGCTTTTTTGCACTGATAAGAAAATTCCATCATCTTCTTTGTCTAGAATTCTTGTTCATCCTTTGTTGTCGGTTCTCAATATAACCTCCACACTTTCACCTATATTTTTCAAGTGTTTCTATTTATCTTTCTTTGTTGCACCTAGGCGAGCTCGTCAGCATTTTCTAATTCTCTCCTGAGTTTATCTCAATGTTTGATTATTTAATATACGTTTTTGTGGTAATATTACTTATGATCAAGACTTAATTGTTTGGTTTTTGTTCCTATTTAATGGTTCTTGTTTCATTTCTGTCTGTTTTAGTTTCTTCATCAATTATTTCTTTTTAATCGAATATTACTTTTTCATTTAGCTCTGTGAAGATTGCAAATATTCTCCCTCAAATTATCTCATTATCTGTTGTATGATTTTGATTTCATCTGGAATGAAATGGTTGTATTTTCAGATTGTCAATCAGTTGGCTCTCTCTCTCAACATTTGATCTCTTTAATCAAGTTTTTTGGCTAATTTGGAATGACAACTCTTGTTCTCTCTCTCTCTCTCTCTCTCTCTCTCTTTCTCCTCTCTCTTTCCTGGTTTCTTTACCTTTCTCCATCTACTTGTGAAGCATAAATTTCAAGTGTCTCTGATGCCCCCTGATTTAAAACAAGGACTTACATTGAGGGTCCAGAGATCTTACTCCATGCTGATATATAGTATATTTCTGATCTAGACACTGAATCTGGTAGCTTGTTTCATATCCAGTTTTGCTGACTATGTTTAAGTAAGAACCAGCAGCTGTTGGCATGTTTTTTGTTTGTTTTGTTTTTTTTTCTCAGACTCCTTTGATAGCTGTGAGTGTTCAGATAGCCTCTGAATTTCATCAAGGAGTTTCCCTTACAGGGAGGACATCTATTGTATGCTACCCCACAAGGCTTAAAATTTGGTCAAAGTAGCCTGTTTCTGATGGGGGCTTAATAGGCCCAAAGCTCTAGTTCTACTCACTACTTTGTGTTTCTGTTTTGTTTTTAGTTTCCCTACATGTTGATGTATTTTAGAGCATTTATGTCTTATTTGTGTCTTTATAATTTTCCCAATAATTTGCAATGAAATGAGGGTACTTAAAATAGAAAACTGCAAAGTATATTGGCTGAAAGGTCTAAAGATAAACAATGCATCCAATCGTTACTGTGCCCACATGTTAATAAAATACACTTTTAGAGATAATAACATTTTCAATGCAATATACTGTACTATATATTTTAAATCATTTCAAACAAGAAGTCTTTCTCACAATGCAGGAGAACTTTGTGTTGATGATACAATTATCAGTATCATCAGTTAATATACCTAGAACATTCCAAAATACTAAGTGTATACTTCTCTAAGACTGCTTCTAGATGATGTCATAGCTAGACCAATTCTGTCTAGAAGTGAAAAAAGTCAATTAGGTCAATAAGTTTGCTTTTCAAATACAAAAAAGTTATAGTTCACAATGATTTTAAATCCAAACTCATGCAATTTAAAATCCATCATTCCATAAAAGGATAAAAACAAGCAAACAATATTATTTATTAATGCAAATATTTGAAACATTAATGTTAATCCCTTGACTACTTGTGAAATACTTTTGCTATTTCAAAGCATACGCTGTATTTATTTTATCCTTACAGCTCCTCTGTAAGGTGAAGAAAACCACTGCTTCACAGTTTAGAAAGTTGAAGTACAGCAGATTGTGTTGCTTACACAGGTACATGATACTAATTTGAGACATACATGCAACTAAAACCTGTGACTGACAGTTTATTGGTGCCTCAAATATGCATTTATTTAGTGCTTTGAACCTAATGTCTTCATCCTACTTCTTGAGGAATTCCCTCATGTTGTGCATGCCTCTCCGATACTTAGAATCTTGTTTAAGTTCTCAGCTCTATAATAGGTGGTAAGAACGCATTTTTTCATTAGTGCTGTTCACTGTTGAAAACTAGCATACTATAAACTCTTAGTTACTATGATCGAGAGAATTTAGGTGGGGTACTATGTAAAGATGGGTAGATAAACTAGATAGCTTGAGAAAAATTGTTACTCTGCACTTCTTAACTCATAAATCTCCGTATTGCAGGAGGGCTCTATGGAGAGCTTATATGAGCCAGTCCCAGACCAACAAACTAACCCAGAAAGCGCCTCTAATAGAATCCATTCTCCTATCCCACCCATTAGGGAGAGTGAACAAGGACACAACAATCTCTTTATGGTGAGTGAAGCCTTGATTTCAGTAAATTTCTTCACTATGACATATTTAGAATCACTTGCTCAATGATACTTGTTAATATGGTAAAAATCCACTGTTTTCAGAAAGTTCATCCTCCACTTTTAGTTTCTAATTTTGTCTTCATTGTTGTTTCTTTTATAACTTAAGTTTGTTACCATGAACCACCATTTATATATCATATACTAGATGATTACATAAATTGACTAAATCCTCAAAACAACCTTATGACATTTTTATATTATTTTTGAGATTTGGAAATTGCTGGAGAGAAAGACAAGACAAATTGCTTGCCTTTAAACCATTAAGTGTTAAAGTTGGCATTTAAACAGATATGTGTCTGCTCCAGTAGGAGAGGTGGGAGAGAGACTGAGTCTGTACCATTTGTCAATTTTCATGGTGTAAATACTCCCATCATGGCCTATTTCAAGCTACCAATGGCTTAACTATGGGCTTGTAATATATGAATATTTAATTATTAATTATCTCAAGTGCTGATTCCAGCTTGTCACTGACCACTTTTCTTTCTTTCTTTCTCTTTCTTTCTTTCTTTCTTTCTTTCTTTCTTTCTTTCTTTCTTTCTTTCTCTCTCTCTCTCTCTCTCTCTCTCTCTCTCTCTCTCTCTCTCTCTCTTTTTAATTTTAAAGATTGGGATACGATTCAGGAATAAGTACATAAGTGGTTATCGTACAAGTGAAGTTTGGGTGTTCTAACCACTCTACTAAACTGTTTCTTGAATTTGTGGACACACACCATCTGTTTACAAAATATAAGTATTGCTAGAGCATAAATGCAAATCGCTTTTGTGAATTATTTTTTAAATTACTAGGGATGGAGTTCTCTGCATTATGCAAAGTTGCCCCTGTCCCTGTTTAACAGTTTCTGACTATTTTAACTCTTAGTCAATTGAGTTTTAAAAGAGCAAAACTGAACTTCTATAGATAAAAACTATGATGTCTAAGATAAAAAATACACTGGATGGTATTAACAGCAGACTAGATGTTGCAGAAGAAAAGATTAGTGAACTCAAAGGCCTAACAGTAGAAACTATCCATAATGAAATGAAGAGAAAAAAGAGACTGAAATTAAAATGAATAGAACATAAGTGATCTGTAGAACAATTCAAGTGGCCTACTGTGTGTGTGATTGGAATCCCCAAAGCAGAGAAAAAACAGGAGACAAAACAAATTTTGAAGAAATAATGGCTGAAATGTTTCCTGATATGAAAACTGTAACACAGATCCAAAAGGCACAAGAAGCATGGGGAAAAAAAAAAAAAACACCCTAAAGCACATTATAATCAAATCACTCAAGACTGGTAACAAAGAAAACATTTCAAAACATAGTCAGAGATGTTATATACAGAGGAACAAAGTTAAGGATTACAGCAGATTTCTCAATAAAAACAATGTATGTGACAAAGCAGTGGGGTATTAACTTTAAAGAACTGGAAAAAAAAAACCTTGTCAATGTAGAAATCTATGTACAGTAAATATATCTTTCAAAAATAAAATAAAATAAAATACAGTCTACCCTTGTACAACACAGGCTTGAACTATGTGGGTCCACTTATATGCAGATTTTCTTCTGTCTCTGCCATAACCCTTCCTTTTTCTCCTCCTCCTCAGCCTACTCAATGTGAAGATGACAAGGATAAAGACCTTTATAATGCTTTACATCCACTTAATAAATCATAAATATATTTTATCTTCCTTGTGGTTTTCTTAATTATATTTTCATGGCCAGGCACCATGGCTCATGCCTGCAATCCCAGCACTTTGAGAAGCTAAGGTGGGAGAATTGCATGAGCCCAGGAGTTGGACACAGCCTAGCCAACATAGCGAGACCCGGTCTTTACATGAAAGAAAAAAAATATTGGGGTATGGTGGTGTACATTTGTAGTCCCAGCTACTTTGGAGGCTGAGGTGGGAGAATTGCTTCAGCCTGGGAGTTTGAAGATGCAGTGAGCAGTGATCCTGTCACTTTACTCCAGCCTGACTGACAGAGTAAGACTCTTACTCCAAAATTTTTTTTAAAAGGAATATTCTCTAATCTTTAGCTGACTTTATTTTAAGAGAACAGTATATAACTCTTATAAAATATACATTAATAGACAGTTACAAGGGGGACCAAAAAAAAAAAAGGAATTTTTTTTGGAGGGTGGGCCCCTTACTCAGGTAGATAAGTGTTCTAGGAACTCACCAGCATCAGTGTACCAGTCAGCATTACCGTAAGAGGTTGTGTCTGACTTTAATGAATTTTGGGGGAGATTCTTTCACCCATTTCATAATGAGTGATTTAGGAGTGCACCCGCCCACACTGTGAGGACTGCTTTTTGGGGGTCCCCTCCTTATGTTATCAGTAAGACTTTTGTTCAATAGCAGGCTAATAGTAGTTACATTTTGGAAGTGAAAAATTACATGAAAATGTTGGACTTCATGGGAGTCAGCACCACTAACCCCTGTGTTGTTCAAGGGTAATTTGGTACTAATACACTTATTTTACTTCTCTTGTGGCTTAGGACAATATAAAACAGCCTATGTCTACTGCAAATAAAGAACCTCCCTATACTAGTAGATTTAGAGGTTACCTCCTGCCCTTATAATCACACTTTTCCTTGATAATAACACAAAAAATTAATATTGACTATCACTTATCTGATGCCTTCTTTTTGTAAGGTACTGTACTAGGTAATGTGTATATATGAAAATATTTGTGTGTATTCTCTTAGCAATTTTAGAGAGGTTTCAAAATGTTGAGAAAGGTTAGAAAACATGCCCACTTAAAAAAAGGATGAGCCTCATTAATAAAACAAACAACAACAGATGCCAGTGAGGATGTGGAGAAAAAGAAATGCTTCTAAACTGCTGGTGGGAATGCAAACTTGTACAACCTCTCTGGAAAACAGTCTGGCTATTTCTGAAAGAACTAAAAATTTACCTTCCATATGACCTGGCAATTCCCCTATTGGGAATAAACCCGGAGGAACTCAAATTATTCTACAAAGAAGATACCTGCATAGGTATGTTTGTTGCAGCTCTATTCACAATAGCAAAAACATGGAACCAACCATGTTGCCCATCGAAGCTGGACTGGATTTTAAAAATGTAGTATATATAGACAATGGAATATTATGCAGCCATAAAGAAAGACAAATATATGGACTTTGCAGCAACCTGGATGGATTTGGAGTTGATCATACTCAGTGATTTATCACAGAAATAAAGAACAGAGTTCCATATGTTCTCACTCATAAGAGGACTTTGAACAATTATAAAACTATAAGAAAGTGACTGGCAGTAATGGGAAACTGCTGGTGGGAGTAGGATTGGCAGTTGAAGGAAACTGCTAGGGGAGGGAGGGGCATACCTCATTAACAGGGGTACTTGCATGATCAATGTTTGTATACCTAACCCTGAATTGTACCCCGCATCTTTATAACAAAAATTAAAAAAAAAAAAAAAGAATCAAGATTCAAATCCAGTTCTTTTTTACTCTGGAGAAAGGGTTACAACAAAGCATTTTAAGTTTTGCACCTACATTCACAGATATCTATTTGGTTATTTGGGTACCTTGAAGATAGCTTATTTTTATCGTTTTCTGTTTCTAAGAAGCTTAGAGCAATTAGAAAGCAGTGTTAATGAACAAATTCAATAATAACTTTCAGGAAAGTAAAAATAATACAAAAATCTTTTTACTGCAGTGGGAGCTCTTCTCTTAACTTGACACTTTTTTTTTTTTTTTTTTTTTGAGTTGGAGTCTCACTCTGTCACCCAGACTGGAGTGCAGTGGCTGCTTCCGGCCACCGCAGCCTCGACCTGCTGGGCTCCGGCGATCCTTCCGCTTCAGCCTTCCTAGTAGCCAGAATTATAGGCATGCGCTACCACACCCGGCTGATTTTTTGCTTTACTGTAGAGATGAGGTCTCGCCTGCCCAGGCGGGTCTCGAACCCGCGGGCTCAGGCAATCCACTCACTTCAGCTTCCCAAAGGCGTGGGATTACAGGCTGAGCCACCGAGTCCGGCTTAACTTGACACTTAACTCTGCATTCATAAGATGTTAATGTTGCTAGACATGCTTCAGAGGAGGCAATCATATTTTGTACACATTATTTTAAGGGAGATAGATTACTTACATGGAGGTTGCCAATTGACATTGCAAAATATTTGTAAGCATCTTCACTATATAATTAAAATAAAAATTGAATAAGCTCAAGAGCCTGAAGATATTTCCTTAAAAGTGTGAATTTAAAAAGTATGCATAAAAAATAAACAAGTTCATGGCCAACCAGTCTACCAGTGTTTTTTCAAATTTCACTAAAATTGCAAAAGTAGATGAGAATAATGAGAACATGATTTAAATTGCTACTGCTCTCTCTGTAATATGTCTCAATACTTAATTAAAAATAAATGCATTATACAAACATATGAATGTCTGTTTTACCATTTAATTGTTGAATTATACCAACCCTATCAAATGATTATTGATACTCATTATGTTTCCAAGGAAAATAATTTTACAGTTTGGATAAAATAAAGTCACTCTTTTAATATTAAAATTAAAGATTTAAAGTATCTACTTTCTTAGTATTTCTAGTTAGTAGTTTAGAACTTTCCTGAATTTCTCTCTTAGCTTAGAATGAATTTATTTTCTCCTAGTATTTGTACTTCCTCTCTCTAGCCCTGCCCCCTGCAACTTAAGGAAGAAAAAGTTTTGGACAGTATCAGAAAATGATTATTCTTTTTGGATTGTTTCTCCAGTAATACTGTGATAAAACCCCTAAAGTTAATGGAGTTATGCCTTGAGCTCCTAGTCCTCACGTCAAATGTACTTGTAACCTTCCCAGAGAGGAGAGGAACTTCCCAAATCTCTAGAGCCAACCAAACAATGCATCTGGTTGTTACAGTGGAAACTGTAACTCATAATAAAAATGTCATTTGACAAATGAATTGAAAATAAAAATGAGAGAATAATCTGTGGCTTTTG